CCGGCCCTAGCCATTTACTTTTTAATTTTTTATTTATTTTTTTTTTATTTTTTTTCCTTTTTGTCTTTTCTCGTGACCGGCAACGGATCGCAGCCCTCAGTGTTGCGCCCGTACCGGACCGGGACCGGCAACGGAATCGCAACCCTTGGTGTTGTTCCCGCACCGCGCTCAGCCAGTGAGCGGCTGGTCTGTATGTGGGATCCGAACCCTCGGCGGGAGCGCCGCCGCACTCCCAAGCGGCGCACTGTAGCAGTGCGCCACCGGGCCGGCCCCAAAAGCTAGCCATTTACAATATCCACCAAAAATATAAAATACTTAGGAATAAAGTTAACCAAGGATGTGAAAAAAATCTATGAAGAGAACTACAAACAATTGTTGAGAGAAATTAAATAGGACAGAAGAAGATGGAAAGATATCCCATGCTCTTTCATCAGAAGAATTAACATTTTGAAAATGTCTATATTATGCAAAGTGGTCTACAGATTCAATGCAATCCCCATCAAAATTCCAATGACATCTATCCAACATTTATATGGAATAATAAAAGACCACGCATAGCCAAAGCAATGCTGAGAAAAACAAAAATAAAGCTGGAGGCATAACACCACCTGACTTTAAACTATACTACAAAGCTATAATAACCAAAACAGTATGGTACTGGCATAAAAAGAGACACACTGATTAATGGAATAGAATAGAGAATCCAGAAATCAACCCACACACGTACTGCCATCTGATCTTTGACAAAGGCACCAAGCCTATACACTGGGGAAGAGACTGCCTCTTAAAAACAACCAACAGGGTGGGAGGAAATATTTGCAAAATATACATCTGACAAAGGGGTAATATCCAGAATATACAGGGAACTCAAACAACTTTACAGAAAAGAAACACATAACCCAATTAAAAAATGGGCAAAGGAGCTGAACAGGCATTTCTCTAAGGAAGATATACAAATGGCCAACAGACACATGAAAAAATGCTCAGCATCACTCAGTATTCAGGAAATGGAAATCAAAGCCACTTTGAGATACCATCTCACTCCAGTTAAGATGATTAATATCCAAAAGGCTGAGAATGATAAATGCTGATGAGGTTGCAGAGAAGAAGAAATTCATATACTGTGCGACTGCAAAATGGTGCAGCCTTTATGAAAAATGGTATGGACTTTCCTCAAACAATTACAAAAAGATCTGCCATATGACCCAACTATTCCACTGCTGGGAATATACCCAGAGAAATGGAAATCATCATGCTGAAGGGATACTTGTACTCCCATGTCTATTGCAGCACAATTTACAATAGTCATTAAACCCAAATTTCCATCATCAGATGAGTGGATATGGAAAATGTGATATATCTACACAATGGAATTCTACTCTGATATATAAAAGAATGAAATACTACTATTTGCAACAACATGGATAGACTTAGAGAAAATTATATTAAGTGAAACAAGTCAGGCACAGGAAGAGAAGTACTACACATTCTCACTTATTTGTGGGAGTCAAAAATAAATAACTAAATAAATATACAAAGAAAGGGAAGAGAAAAAGACACAGCAATCACAACGATTCCGTGAAGTTGTTAAGAGAAGTTAACAGATATGATGTAGTGAGTAGGGGAGGGGAGGGGGTAAAGAGGAATGGGTAGGATGACACAAAAATCAACTACAATGTATATTGAGAAGTTAAATTTAAAAAAAAAAATAGAAAACCTCAGTAGTGTTAAATTTTTTGCTTTCAGCCACCAAACATTTTTTTTTTTTTTTTTGTCTTTTTCCATGTCCGGCAATGGATCACAACCCTCAGTGTTGCCCCCGTACCGGACCGGGGACCGGCAACGGGATCGCAACCCTCTTTACCAATTTTTTTAAGACAGATCTACTGGCTATGGGTTCTTGTAATTTTTCTTCATCTGAAAATGTCCTTTTTTTGAACTTTATTTGTGGAAGATATTCTTATGCGATACAGAATACTGAATCAATAGTTCTTTCAGCATCTTAAAAATGCTTTGATATTTCTTTTTGTCCTTCGTGATATTAGATGAGAAATCCACATACATTTGAATTGTTGTTTTTCTATAGATAATACTTTGTTTTTCTTTAGCAAATTTCAAGATTTATTCTTTGTCTTTATTTTTCAGCAGTATTATTAGTTGGTGTTTGGGCGTGGAGTTTCTTGGGTTTATCCTCTTTGGGCCATTTTTTTCAGCTGTAAGTTTATGTCTTTTGCAAAGGTGGGAATTCTTCAGCTTTTATTTCTTAAAAAAAAATATATATATATATATGTATATTTACCATTACACTCTCTTCCTTCAGAGACTTTATGACTTTTTTCCTACAAATCTTTGAGGCTCTGTTCATTTTTTCCATCTTTTTTCTTTCTGTAATTCAGATTGAATAATTTCTATTGATCTATCTTCAAGTTCATTGACTTTTTCTATTTCCATTCTAGTATTCAGATCATTCAGTATGTTTTTTATTTTGGTTTTATTTTTCAGTTCTGAGTTTTCCATTTGATTCTTTTTTCTAGCTTATATTTATTTGTGTTTACTTTCTATTTTAACTTTTGTTAATAGAATGTTTGCAAGTGTTATATGTTCATTTATTGCATTTTTACAATAGCTGCATTAAAGTCTCTGTCATATAATTCTAACTTCTTTGTTATCTTGGTGTTAGCAACTCCTCTTCTTTTCTTATGCAAATTGTGATTTGTGTGTGTGTGTGAAGTAATTTTATATTCTTTCCTGGACATATTAAGAGACTCTGGGTCTTGTTTACATTCAATTGATGTTTTAGCTCACAACCCGCCTGTTTAGGTTTAGGCTGGAACTTCTGACTCATCTTCTGTGAGCTGCGGTTTCAATACATATATGAGGGCACTTCAAAAAGTTTGTGGAGAAATGGAATTAAAAGTTAATACAAATATTTTCATGAACTTTTTGAGACCTCTTGTCTATGCACACACACACACACACACACACACACACACGAGGATACCCTCATGTGTGTGTGTGTGTATTTTTATATATATTTTCTCTTCCTTTATTTGAATATGCTGAAATTTCACTTATTTTTTATTTTTTTTGTCTTTTTTGTCTTTTTTCATGTCCGGCAACGGACCGCAACCCTCAGTGTCGCGCCTGTACCGGACCGGGACCGGCAACGGGATCGCAACCCTTGGTTTTGCTCCCACACCTCGCTCAGCCAGTGAGCGGGAACCAGTCTGTATGTGGGATCCGAACCCTGAGCGGGAGCGCCGCCGCGCTCCCAAGCGGCGCACTGTAGCAGTGCGCCACCGGGCTGGCCCAAATTTCACTTATTTTAAAAAGCCTTTTTTGACTACCCTTCAAAAATAGTCTGCTGTATTCTCCATCTGCCCAATCACTCTCTCTTCTCTCTCACAGCCTTCTTTTCCTTCATAGCCTTTACTCCTACATGGTTATTTATGTTTGTCTGTCTATCTATCAATTAATTTTCTGCCTGTTTTTCTCTCTGCTATCTGTCTCCCTGTAATACAATATATATTCGAGGATGTTAAGGACTTTTTAGACTAATATACTCATAACCCTTAAAACTGGATGGGTGACTAACAGGAGCTTGATAAATATTTGATGAATTTTGGTATATTACTCTTCCTTTAGGCTCAGCTTCCTGGAAATGGTTTGGTTTTTGCTTTGTCATTGTATGTTACATTGTATATTTACTCTATTATGGAGAAGATATAGTCGATGTATTCAAAGGATCTTCTTTTCCAACACTTAAAATTTAAGTAATACAATAATAACTATCTTGATTAACTGTGTATTAATCTGTAACAAACCTTGGGCAGGAACCCAGTGTTTTATAAGTGAAAAGAACATTTTACACAGTTTTTCTAAATTCGTTTTGTGTTTGACCTATAAATAAAATTTGGGTCAGTAATCCAGGTATTTGAGTCCTTCTTTGTCTGTCATTGCAGTCATATTTTTAAAATTATGTAAGATTTCAAATATACAAATGGTGGGAATTATGCTTAAGAGATGAGAATATTAGATAACATAAAAGCCCCCCATATACTGCTGCACAGATTTAGATGATGTCATTTGTGTTATCATGTATATTAACTGTGCCCATGCTCTGTGCAGAGGTGCAATGCTAAACCAGCACAGCTCTCCCATTTTTATTCTTCCCTGATCCATTTCCTTTCTCCTCTTTCACCATCACACTGAGGTATCTACTATCCTGAATTAGTGTTCATCATTTCCATGCTCATTTTATTATTTTTACTGATTGTGTGTATCCAGAGAATAGTAGGTAAGAGTTATTTTACTTTGCAATTTGCTATTATTGGCCAATATTTTATTTTTGAAACTTGTCCATCTGTCCATAGTTAATCCTTTCTAAATGCTGGATAGTATTGCATTCTGAATATATAGTAATGTATTTATTTCTGCTGATTTTGATGGGCATTTGGGTTATTTCTAAAGTTTTGCTATTATAAGCAGTGCTGCAGTAAATATTTTTATACATGTTTCCTTTTGCACATGTGCAAGAATTTCTTTAGGCTACATGCCAAAGAGGGGATTTGCTAGGTTATAGAGTAGTCACATCTTCAACTTTAATAAACATTGCCAAATTGCTCTTCAGATGGTTGTCGAAAAATGAGGGTCTTCAAAAAGTTCATGGAAGGATTTGTATTATCTTTTAATTATATTTTTCCATGAACTTTTTGAAATGCCCTCATGTGTATGCATATCTGCAGTATATATGACAGTTTCATTATTTCACAAGTGCACATTTGTTATTATTCGAACTTTTAATTTTTGTTCCTTTTATGGGTGTGAAATGGTATCTCAACATTGCAGTAGCTGTTAAAAATAATATTTTCTCAAGTAATTAATTGATACTAATTTAATTGAATAAACTTCTTAAAATAACAATTCTTGCTTTTTATTTTTGCCAAATGTATACATTTCTTTATTTTTTCTGATTGATTATGGGTTATATATTTTGATAGCTCTGGTTGAAGAAGTGTATTTTGCGCAGAGGGAACGTGATGAAGCTATTATGTTTAGACTGCAGTTAGCCATTGCGGAGAGAGATGAAGCAATTGCACGAGCCAAGCATATGGAAATGTCTCTAAAAACGTATGTACACGTTTAAAACTACATATGACATTAGGAGCATTTATAAAATGTATGCATTATCTGTGGTTACATATTCAGAAATGTTACTGATTCTTATATGTTACACTAGGAAATTGTGTATCTCCACTATATTTTTATAAAGCCTTTGGCATGCTAGTAATTTGCCTGTCAGGGATAACAGTAGATTTAAAAAAGAAATGCACATCATTGTTAATAAAATTACTTTCTTTAATTCTTCATAGTTTTGTTGTCCATGTTCTTACTCTACCTTCTTTTGTGACTACTCTTTTCTCTTCTCCTTATTATCACTTTTTTGATTTACATCACCTATCTGGGTTCTTTCACTGCTATCTGCTTAATATCTCTGTTTCTGTTCTTCATGACTTTTTTCTTGTAATTCTGTAGAATTACCAGGCAACCCAGGTAATTCTGATAAGTAAATAATAGACCACACTTAGAGAAACAGTGCCCTATAAATAAGTACTTCTCATTTTAATGTGCAGTCCAATCACTTGGGGTATTTTGCTACAATGCAAAATCAGTAGGTGTGAGGTGGGACCTGAGATTCTGCCTTTCTAACAAGCTCCCAGATGATACAAATGATGCTAAAGTAGCATCATTAAGGAATATGCTTTGGGTAGAAAGGCCTTCGGGCATCTAGAATTGTTTCCTTATAGACAGATAGAATACAGTAATCTAATATTTAATGATGATTAATCAGTATACTTATAGCATGTTTGCTCTGCCCAGTGTTGTAATAGGCTTTGTGGAGGGAACAGAGTAGAGTTTCAACAGAGAGACAAAAAGCCATGAATAGTTAATGGTGACAGTGTTCAAGCTCTGATTAGGTAATATGATTTTTTTTTTGGTTTATATTAATGGTTTATATTAATAGCTTCATTTTTTTTTTGAAACTTGATACTCATTTTAAAGCATTAAACTAATTGACAAATACAAATAAAGGAAGAAAAAAAAAGTCGCCTAAATTCCACAGTGGGTTTATATTAATAACTTCATTTTTTTTTTGAAACTTGATACTCATTTTAAAGTATTAAACTAATTGACAAATACAAATAAAGGAAGAAAAAAAAAGTCGCCTAAATTCCACAGTGCTTACCCCCAAATAACCATCTTTTTCAATAGGGAAACATTTTTCCAAAGATTTTCACTTTACTCATGTACTTAAATACTTTTATGTACAAGGGTACATGGTTGGTGGTCAAGTGGGTGTATCCATAGAATTAATTTGATAAAAATCAAGTCATTGTCTACATGCTGTTTTACTTGAGGGACAGTGTCATGTACAGGTTAACATCATGGATTCTGAACCCAGTAATCTCTCTTCAAATCCTGACTGCTTTTCCCTAGCTCTACAGACATAGACAAATTACTCAGAGTGTCTGGGACTCAGTTTTTTTGCCCATCGAAAATAGTGTTTACCTAGTACAGGTTTTTAGGAGGATTAAACAACTTACTAAGTATTGAAAAGAACCTGGCTCATAGCAAGTGCTGTATAATTATTACTTCAATTTAAAAGTAATACTGAATTTAAGTTAAACTGAAGAAAATTTTGAACTTCATGCAATTTCGGTCAATAAGATTTTAATTCCCTAAAGATCTTTCTAATTTTAAGAAAAAGTGTGAAAAACATTAAGAAATTGAAGTCATCAAATTTTTTTCTTTTTCCTTTTTTAAAAATTGATTATACAGGGCCGGCCCGGTGGTGCACTGCTACAGTGCGCCGCTTGGGAAGCGCGGCGGCGCTCCCGCCGAGGGTTCGGATCCCGCATACAGACTGGCCGCTCACTGAGCGAGGAGCGGGAGCAACACCGAGGGTTGCGATCCCGTAGCCGGTCCCGGTCTGGTACAGGTGCAACACTGAGGGTTGCGATCCGTTGCCGGTCACGAAAAGAGACAAAAAGACAAAAAAAAAAAAAATGATTATACATATTCATGGGGTACAAAGCACCACCTGTGCTCAAGATGTGATGATGAGATCAATACTATCAGCAAGTCCATTACCATAAATTGAAGTTATTCCCTGTGTCCCCCACCCACCCTCTCCCTAACTTCCGTCTCCCTCCCCCACCTCCATCCCTGGAAACTCTGGGTATGTTCTCTCCTTCTGGAAGTCCAATAAACCACTGTGATTTTTCTTTCCTTCCTTCTTTCTCTCTTATCTCCCACTTATGAGTGAGAATATGCTGTATTTTTCCCTCTGTGCCTGGCATGTTTCATAATTTTCCCCAGGCTCATCCATGTTGCTGCAATTTGCAGAATTTCATTCTTTTTTATGGCTGAGTAGTATTCTGTAGTGTATACATACCACATTTTCCTTATCCAGTTATCTGATGGTGGACATTTAGGTTGGTTCTGTATCTTGGCTATGGTAAATAGAGCTGTGATGAACGTAGGAGTGCTTGTATCCCTTTGACATGATGATTTCCATTCCTTTGGCCATATACCCACAAGTGGGATTGCTGAATCATAAGGTAGGTCTATCTATAGTTGTTCGAGAAACCTTCATACTGTTTTTCATAGTGGCTGCACTAATTTCCAGACCCCACCAGTAGTGTAAGAGAGTTCCCCTTTCTTCATATCCAGAATTTATTATTCTCCATCTTTTTGATTATTGCCAGGGGTGATATGATGTCTCAGTGTGGTTTTAATTTGCATTACCCTGATGATCAGTGATGTAGAACATTTTTTAAGTACCTGTTGGCCATTCGTATGTCTTCCTTCAAAAAATGTCTATTCAGCTCCTTTGCCCTTTTTTTGCTTGGCTTATTTGGTTTTTTACTGTGTAGTTATTTGAGTTCCTTGTATATTGTGGATATTAATCCCTTGTCAGATATATAGTTTGAAAATATTTTCTCCCATTCTGTAGGTTGTCACTTCACTCTGTTGATTGTTTCCTGTGCTGTGCAGAAGCTTTTTAGTTTGATATAATCCCATTTATTTATTTTTTCTTTTGTTGCTTATGTTTTGGGGCTCTAATTCATAAATCTTTGTCCAGTCCTACTTCCTGAAGTGTTTCCCCTATGTTTTCTTCTAGGAGTTTTATAGTTTGAGGTCTTATACTTAAGTCTTTAATCCATTTTGAGTTGATTTTGTTTTATGGTGAGAGGTGCAGATCTAGTTTCATTCTTCTACATAATGGATGTCCAGTTTTCGCAGCACCATTTATTCAAGAGGCAGTCTTTTTACCAATGTATGTTCTTGTTGTCTTTGTCAAAGATCAGTTGCCTGTCCATCTGTGGATTGATTTCTGGGTCCTCTATTCTGTTCCATTTGTCTAAGTGTCTATTTTTATGCCAGTACCATGCTGTTTTGGTTACTATAACTTTGTGGTATAATTTGAAGTCAAGTAGTGTTATGCCTCCAGCTTTATTTATTTATTTATTTTCCCCTGAGGATTGCTTTGGTTATTCATGGTCTTTTGTTATTCCATATGAATGTTAGGGTTTCTTTTCTTTTTTTTTTTTCTGTGTAGAATGTCATTGGTATTTTGATGGGGATTGTATTGAATCTCTAGATCACTGGATAAATGGAACATTTTTACTGTTGTTTCTTCCAGGAGCATGAAATGTTCTTCCATGTTTTTGTGTCCTTAATTTCTTTCAGTAATAATTTGTAGTTCTCATTATAGGCATCTTTCATCTCGGTTAAATAGATTTCTAGGTATTTTATTTTTTTGGTGACTTTTGTAAATGGACTTACTTTCTTAATTTCTTTTTCTGTTAGTTCATTATTGCAGAATATAAATGCAACTGATTTTTATTTTTATTTTATTTTGTTTTAATTTTATTTTATTTCATCAATATACAATGTGGTTGATTATTGTGGTCCATTACCGAAACATCCGTCCCTCCTCCCTCTCCCCCACCCCCAACAATCTCCTTTCTGTTCGCTTGTCATATCAACTTCAAGGAATTGTAATTGTTGTGTCTTCCTCCCTCCCCACCAGGTTATTTATGTATGTATGTATTTATTTATTTATTTATTTTTAGCTCCCCCAAATAAGGGAGAACATGTGATATTTCTTTTTCTGTGACTGACTTGTTTCACTTAATATAATTCTCTCAAGGTCCATCTATGTTCTTGCAAATGTCAGTATTTAATTCTTTTTTTAGCAGAGTAGTATTCTATTGTATAGATATACCACATTTTCCATATCCACTCATCTGATGATGGACATTTGTACTGGTCCCAACTCATAGCTATTGTAAAGAGTGCTGCAGTGAACATTGGAGAACAGGTATACCTTCAACTTGATGATTTCCATTCCTCTGGGTATATTCCCAGCAGTGGGATAGGTGGGTCGTATGGTAGATCTATCTGCAATTGTTTGAGGAACCTCCATACCATTTTCCATAGAGGCTGCATCATTTTGCAGTCCCACCAACAATGGTGTGGGAGTTCCTTTTTCTCCGCAACTTTGTCAGCATTTATCATTCACAGTCTTTTGGATATTAGCCATCCTAACTGGGGTGAGATGGTATCTCAGTGTGGTTTTGATTTACATTTCCCGAATGCTGAGTGATGTTGAGCATTTTTTCATGTGTCTGTTGGCCGTTCACATATCTTCCTTTGAGAAATGCCTCTTTAACTCTTTTGACCATTTTTTAATTGGGTTACTTGTTTTTTTCTTGTAAAGTTGTTTGAGTTCCTTGTATATTCTGGATATTAATCCTTTGTCAGATGCACAGTTCGCAAATATTTTCTACCATCCA